GGCAAATTAAGCCGAAACTAAAATAATCCCTCGATATTTTGTTTTTTACGTTTTTCAAAAAATGAAATATAGTAGATTACGTTGTTGCCCTTAATGATTTCTTATTTTACAGCTCCAACCCGGGTCACCTTTCCCACCCAAATCGGATCCCTAAGACCAAAAAAAACAAATACTTTTGAACTTTCAGCGGCTTCTCTCTCGTCTCTTCTTCGTCTTCTTGGCGATTTCTCTGGACAACAAGTAGACTGTGTTTGACGCTTCAAGGAAGGAGTTTGAAGAATCCCACGTTTGAGAGAGATACAAAAATGGATGAGCCTCTTGATTTCGAGAACGATGATCCTCTCGTTAACCCTCCAGCGACACTTGAGCAAAGGTCTGTCCTTTTGTGCTTGATTTCCGACTTTCGTAGTGCTTGATTTCGTTGGTTTGTTGAAGAAAATCGAGTCATTGTAGACTAGGGGTTTTTCTTTTGAATCCGCTCGAAATTCTGGGTCTTTTAGGGTTACTGGAAAATTTGAGGATTTTTCAACTCTTTTGTGATGCTTAAGAGGAAGAACGTTTGTATGTCACTGTAGGAGGAAGAAAGTTATTGGCTTGGATGATCTTCTCTCTGATTTTTACAAAGAGAAGAGCAAGATTCTAAACAAGCAAAACAGGAAACGGAAAGCCTCTAAGCTTTACGATTCAGATGAAGATGAACATGGCCAAGAAGCTTTACTTTCTAAATATGTTGATGACTGCCAGAATCAGGCATGACTTCAAACCATCCCAATTCTTAACATTTTGCTCTGCAATCAATGACAATGTTCGATTGTTTGGTAAATGATTTGGTTGTATGTTTCAGATGGATGAGATAGATGGGGAAGAAGATATCCGTGAGTGGGGACTATCGATGTTTGGAGATCAGGTTAGGCTGATTTTATTTTCCATGTTAAATGTTGTTTCAGAGTAAGTGATACTTGTTTATCATGTTAATACACAGAAAACTCCAACACCTTCACTACACGCTGATCTCGTTAGTTGCTGCTTGTTGAAAGAATTTATGAATACTCAATCAAATCAAGTGGTGGATCTTCGTCCAGATACAGGTTTGTTTTCTATGAGTTCATCGCCTTTTCGTTGTAAAAAGCCACTCTCTCCGACTTTAAGTAATAGACTTCGCTGTACAATCCAGGAGCAAATTTTCTTGAAGGATTGTTGGTTAACGGCTGCCTCACAAGACTGGTCTTGACACGTGCATGTGCAGAAAAATTCATATGCAAATGGACGGTTAATCTGTGTGCGTGTCTAATTGTTACTTCAAGTTTCTTTATTCTACGACTTTAAGCTTACCTTTATGGTTTTGATGTCTGGGACTTATCAGTGTTGTATTCATCAAAAGAAGATTTAAGATCATCTGCTTGTGACTTCTGGTGTTCCATACTGTCATCACAAATCGAGGTGTACTTTCGTTTCTTTCTTGAGCTTTCATGGCTTATTACATTATGTTTTGATTGAAGCTGACTTTGTGGTTTAATCAGATTAATGGAGCTCCTGTTGAAATTGACTGGCTTCCTAACTATCAGGAACTTAAAGAAGCTCTTGAATCATATGGGTTCAGGATTAATTCGTCACAAGATGTTGAACTTGCTAAAGCGGGTGGGTTTCCTGTTGCTCCCCGTTCGTTTAGTGTCGGTTATTTTTTTCTTTAGGTTTTATAAATTGAATCTCCTTGTGAAGTCTACTAACTTTTGGTTTGAAGATTCTGAGTCTCAAGGTCCTCCTCCGAATATTAGAGCTTGGCTCAAACTTGTAGCTGCTTGTTGTCAAATTAGGTTTGTGTTACAAAACTCTCTTTAACAGATAGCAAAAACATTCTCCTGCCTTTGCAGTACTAATTCAGTAATTTTTTTGTTGCATCTTAAGTATCCGCAGAGTAATTAGTCTCTATTTCATACATTTTGATCACTCCTGCATTCTCTGTTGCTTCATTTATTCAGGTGTAAAAATCCTATTTTTTCCACTTCACAAGTTGAAGAGATAGTCGAAATCCTTGTATGGCTGCTCTTAGATCGCGGTCTTCATGGTCTTTCACTTCTCTTACATGATTGCTTAATATCTGTTATTGGATCCTTCAAAAAGGAAGAATGGGTTTCAAGCTGCGAGGAAATAGCAAACTCTCTTGCTTCCAGGTTCGACCTCCTATATCCTTGTAGTATCCTTGGCCGTTTGGTCTTATCTGTTAATTGACTTAAAACAGTTTTTTTAATTCGTTTGATGCATCTGCAGAGTACCTCAAGACATTAATTGTTTGAGGATAGTGGAATCTGTATCAGGTATTGATGCTCGAAGCAAGCTTCTGAGAAGTTCCATCTCAAATAAAATGCTTGTTGTTTTACTTGATCATAAGGTAATCCGTTAAACTAGTTATGATTCTAGTCATAAACGCATTTATACATTCTCTGATCTTTGATTATCTCCACTAACAGGGCAGCGATGCAAATTTATTGAGCTCCCTGATGTCTATCAAGGTGAAGGAAAAGAATTGTAACCTTATGAAAACTTACATTTTCTTGGTTTTGGCGGAGAACTGGCTCTTCTCCAGTAAATTGGCGGAGGAAAAGCCGGTACTGAGGGACATGTGGGCTGTGTTTCTTAGAAACTGTTCTTGTCAGATCAACACCACGGATCTTCGGCCTTATGCATCAAAAGTGGGTACAAAGCGGATCAAATCGCAACTTTTTATGTTTTCGGTCCTCGTATTTTAAAATTCCGGGTTCCATCTGACAGATGATTTTGGTTTTGTGGTGTTAACAGGTTCGTACCAGAGCCGCCTATCTTCTTCAAGGATGCAGCAGCAACTGAAATCTGAAACTTAAGCAGGAGTGAAATTTCGTTAGTATTAGATTTTGGTGTTTTAATTTACTCTTTTACCACTAAAAATCTAAAATTTAGAACTTTCTCAATTAACCCTTCTTTTTGCCCATATTTTGGTGTAAAAGAAAGAAAAAAAGGTAGTAATATTTATGTCACTGATGGATTTTTTTAGTAAATGGCAATGCTAACAAATCTGTGACTCATCGAGGGCTAAAGAGTGTCTAATGAACCTTTAGTGCTTATAAACTTAATTTGTTTTCTTCCAGCTAAGTGCTTGTGCTCTTGTGGGACTTTGAATCATATCAACTACAGTAAGAAATTGATTTTCATTCTTTCTATACAGTGCCCAACCAACCGATTTCAGCATTGCGTGTTGCTGAAATGTACTTCTTCACAAGACCTCAAGGTGAATCATTGAGGGTACAAAGTAGTGCCTCTTTGAAATGAGTGTCTGATAGATGTTGAGAAACTGAAGGGTTTAGTTGTATAAACAAATAATTGTATAGTTTTGGATATGG